GCGCGCTTTGCGTTTCAGATAGATTACAGCGCTCACATAACAATTTCCAGCGAAACGTACATGTTGCAATATTTCAACAAAATTGCTTAAATATGGCACGAGCTTCCTTGAAATATTTACATTGAATATTGTAAAAATAATTTTTGTAATTAAAATAAATAACCATTGAAGAAGGCCTTTTAAAAGTTCAAAAGATAATATTTTAATGGAGTCTTAATGTGAAAGTGGTATTACAAGAAAATAAAAGAATCAACCCTAAAAGGCGAAGGCAGCGGCCGAAAGGATATGTATAGGGATTGTGATATAAATTTCATTATAGATTTTAAAGCTTTCGTAGTTATTCCCTAAATGATTTTCACTAATTACAGGTTTCTTACTACGATATGATTTTTATTTTCCAGATATTTCGAAAAGGTTACACGCTCCATGGTCACGGATTGACTATTGGTTCCGAAACATCGAGAAAATAAAAAGAAATCATATCGTGATAGAAACCTGTATACATATACTCAGTGATAATAATTTATAAATTAATTTTTTAAATTTACAATACAATTAAATTTACAATGTTTAAATCGCGATTATTTCACAGCGTCAATTAGCATGGTAATTTATGCTTCTACATTATGTATCTACGAATAAAATAAATCAGGGCGAGGCTCTACATTGTGGCCTACGACGCGTAGCCGTTGGCTGGCCCGGCCTTCGTAATATGAACATTATGCTTCCTTTGTTTATTTGTACTTGTAAATGAGTATACTTTATGATATTACGAAGTAAAAGTATATTACGGGAATATATACCCGAAACTCAATGTCACCGGTTATATTCCTTAATTCTTTGAATTTTTGCAAGTTACGATTACTTAAACTTGCGTTACAGGCCTTACGTTGCTTATATACGTTTCTCTGCTACATCCCTATGTACATACGCGTTTTTCATTTGTTTATAGTTACGTGATATAGTAGATGTTAAATCTAAACCTACACACCAAATATATTGGTAGGCTGCCTGCCTGTTGTGACCTTCACTACAATCAACTACAATCTGAAAACATTCGTTATTTCAAAACAAGCTTATATCCACCCATAGTCTATCCTAATAATAATAATGTTGTGTTTCTATCAGTTTTAAACTCGGAGTTTGAACTAAAGCACAAGAGGTAATAGTAATGTGCCGCCTATTAAAAGAGGGTAGGTGAATACCTAAAGTTTTATTATCGGGCACAGTCGCGACGGCCTGGCGCCTACTTCACGCGAGGCGGATTTTCATTTGTCTCTCCATGTAAAAATCAGACATTTACATACTAAGTAAAATCAGCATGATAGTAATCTGGTGATCACATTAAACAGTTTTGCAATAAAGCTGACTTGATTTTTCTAAAGTATGTTTTCGTGATTATGTATACTCAAACTTTATTGTACACTTTTGCCGCCGTTTATATACGGAATAAAGTCGGCGACTGGTTCCCTACCGCAGTGTTACGTAACCTCCGCTCGAAATAGTCTGTACTAGGTACAGCCGTACACACATTGTGCCACCTCATTGTGGAATTCTTGAGAACTAAAGGGGAGGGGTGTACGTCAGCGACACGATGGCTTAGAGATCCATGACATGAGTCCTAAAGACAGCCCATTGAAAAATTGTTCCGTCGTGTAAGTTTCCGCGAGAATAAGTTTTGATATTTCGTTAATAGTATATCCAATATTCATATTACATGTTATATACCTGCTGACAAGGTAATTGCTTTTTATTACATGTATGTTCTGTCTAAATGTATTGATCCTTTCTGTTCAAAACCTATGTTCCGTAGCACCATTGCGAACAAGCACCATTTTTCACTTAATAAAAATTACACGAGATCTGGAACTCGATTAGAATAGAAATATATGGCAAGTTCTAATCATGATGGAATTTTCGATGGCCCGAGAAATATCTTGTGAAATTTCATTCTTAGACACTTATTTTTATATGCACTCATTTAAACGGCCACGTAAGAAACTATTTTTTTACGAAAAAATGCTCTGACCACACAGAGGCAGTACGCCAGTGCGGAGCCTCAAAGGTAACCAATTGTGTGGCGATCAGTCAAACCTTTAGTTGCCTGGTGAGAGTTTTCTTTAATAACCAACCTCAGATGTTTGGTATTTTTAGTATAGACGTAATAGCCATTTACCGCTTTAGTGCCTAAACTTATTAGACAGTAGATAAAGTGGTGGATTGTCAAGATCTAACAGATTGACAGTGAAAATTTAAGTCCCCTGAATGTCAGTCCCCTGTTCACGTATGTGATAAGTGGCTGGAAACCAGGCACAGGCAAATGTATTTTCCAGCTATAAGCATTAGTATTTCATGAAAATGTCGTCACGTTCCGACTAATTAGAAAATATTTTATAATTAGGAAGTTGTCGTTTTAGTTAAGTACTTTTGTGACCTATGCAGTAATATTAATAAAGCGAATTATTGAGACTGAAAAATTAATGTACAACAGTTTTTGTATGTTTTCTGCTTGCTTACTAAAAAATAAATTATTCTTTTGTGATACAGCTTTAAATGTTTCGTTTTATATCCATTTCCTGACCATTTTGTCAGTCCCTTTACCATTTTTTTTCAGTTCGCATAGGTATTTTTGTTATTTTTTTCACTGTTTTTCATAACAATATATTACGAATATCTTTACAAACATGCAAGGCTAATTTACGAACTAAAATATACAAAACATAAACAAATTCATTATGCTTTTGGTCAAAATGAAATATCTCTAAAATACGGTAATTGTGCAAATCCGATTTCTGCATAACCGCTTATGTTCCTAACGTTCTCGTTTTTTGATGTGAATCAAGTACTTGGACCCCTTTACACACCGATTATATTATATGCTCGATGCCTTTACACAAACGTGTGTGACCAATATTGAAATTCAACTGAGCCATTAAAATATCCTTCCTTGAAATTGTTCCACTCGTATTTTGCTCTTTTGATATAATTCTCCATTGTAAATGATACCAATGATTTTGTTTTCCTTTATATCGTTTTGGCGTTTAGAACTCTCGTGTTTTTAATACACTGTACAGCTACACAGAGTTTTATCTGTACAAAGCATAAGCAGCAAAGCATAGTACTCAAATTTGTTTTCAATAATTTTATTTTCAGTACTACTTGTGCCGCAGTATTATGTAAGCTTTTGCGTCAGCACCAGCACAACGGTCATGACATTGACATGTTCGTACTCATGAACAGATGTATTTCAGAAGTGCATTTGAAGTGGTAACAGTATAAATAAGCGATGAGAAACAGTTGTCAAACATATGACGTAGTAGTTGACGTATCGATACGAAAACATCGTCGTTGACTCGATTTGGCGACTACAGTCGCTCAGTGGCTAGCACTGTGGGCGCTCGGCACCACATGGTAGAAGGCTCTGGCAGGACCAATTTGGGAGACGGAACTTTTTGAAATTGATCTTGGTCTGACTGTTTCTCAATAGTGCTTCGGAGTTAATCTAGTTCCTGTGGTGTACCACGAAAACCCACGGAAATGATTTCTTTCCACGGCATTTGTGGAAAGAAATCATTTGTTTTTTGAAGAATGAAAGGCACAGTCAAATGTGTTGGTACACCATCCTTTACACATCCCAATCATTGTAAAATATGTGTATTAAAAATATTAGACACCTACACATTATACACACACTTGTAACTACGATGTAAGTACGAATCCGACTGAGAGCAGCCAATGTGTCTTGTACCTAAACTATAATATATGTTATGTGCAATGTAAATGTACGCACCAGTTCAATTTTCGCAATGTAAACTTAGCTTAAAAAATATTTTTTCATTTTCATTTTTTCTGTTATTCAAACATGTTCTGTTTCCGATAACAAACTACCTATTTACAGCTTTGCAGTCAGCTACCTAACACCCTGAATACTGAAGAGATCAAAATGATTTTATCCTCCTTCATCCATGTCTCCTTTAACAATGTCGAAACTTTGTGGTAAAACTTTTGAATAGCCAGATTATACGAGTGAAGCACACCTAAACCACTGACGTGAAGTTTTCCTTCGATTGACCTAAATTTCTGTTTAAGACTGCAACATTGCTGCGACTAGTTCAAGTTCGCATAGTACAAGTAAACAGCTGCATACATAGATTTATATACTAAATCCACACAAATATCAGAGTACTGAAACCCAAGGCCCGGAACCCGTTTTCAGATTGATTAAATTAAAATAAAACGTATTGGTTTTAGTTAAAATGTTGCTGTACCTACAGATTAGGGAGGAAAAGCAAAAATATCTTGTTAACGTATGTGGACATTGGATTTTGATCAGATCTTTCTAAATAGTACTTACATACCTGCATTTACAATGCCAATAGCTACAAAAAGGTCATTCATTTTGAACGACCGTACAAATTAGCATCATTTGACTTCTGAGGGTTCCGACGAACTTATCGATTTCAGAGTGAGCTAAAACGACTGGACCGTGACTTGAGATTCTGCAAACCTACTCAATAAATATTAAATCTTTGATGTATCACGCATTTAATAACTACTTGGTACTAAATAAATACTTGGATTCTTGAAGTGTGAAATTATAGGAATAGAGTGCTCCGTGCCAAAGATCAAACCTAGAACACTGCTCTCTTTTTGTATGCTTATGTCAACATCATCACCTCTTTACGTGTTCCAGTAATGGGCACGGGACTCCTCTAATGAGAGAGTTTAGACTTCACATATTGCCTAAAGGTTTGTTTTTATTATAGCCCTATATCGCGGGTGCCATGGACATACACAAACAAACACAAATTACACCTAGGCTCTCGAGATAAATAAATGTAGGCCATACAAATATTTGTATCGGCCCCGGTATCGAACCCGGGAGCTCTGCGTGACAGTCCAGCATGGTAACCGTACGGCTACAGTGGCAGTTTGTGAACCTTGCAGGTTGTGAACCTTCTTCGACAATGTGCTTATAAAAATTAAACTATTATTTACAGCTACGTTTACCCAACAATGGACGAGTTGGCCAACCAGATCAACTACGTGCTTGGCCACTTTGGAATAAAATCTTTCATCGGCTTCGGCGTCGGCGCTGGCGCTAACATCCTCGCACGGTTTGCTCTTGCACACCCTTCCAAGGTAAGCAATAATGCAAGCCAATCATACTACTATACAGTTATGCTCTATCATACATACATTAAATATACATACATACACTTCACGCCATATTCTCATGGTGGCAGGCAATGACCCCAGTCTTCTACTTGCTACAATCCTGTCACACATTTTTCGCCTAATAATTTAAATATAAGTGTACGACGATGTTCTATCCTAATGCTATACAATTATATTAACGTCTCTATCGTCCTATCTTCCCACTTGAAACTTTATGTCCGCGTTACGTGGTATTTGAAATAATAGTAAAGTAAAATATGTAGCGATATAAAATTAACGCAATTCAATGTCAGTAATTTGTACTTTTGACGTTTGCGGTTGTCACAGAACAGTTTTTAAAATTTGTCTTCTTGTTAAGGATAGGATAGGTAAACTTCTTTCAAATTCAAAACACCCGTCGGCATTTTAGTAACGTAACTTATATTTAAAATTTTGCTATTTTCTAATAGGTGGATGCAGTAGCCTTGGTAAACTGCACATCAAGCCAAGCCGGCTGGATCGAGTGGGCCTACCAGAAGATGAACACCCGCTCGCTGCGCTCGCGCGGAATGACTCAAGCAGTACTTGACTACTTGATGTGGCACCACTTCGGCCGGGTACGTATTCACCTGTTCAAGTTGAAGCCATCTCTGCAAATCTATTTTATTTAATTCGCAAAAGGATTTCGATGCAGCTTTACATACTAAAGTATACATTATACATTTAATATTTCAACACAAAATGGTATGTTGGATTCAAATCAAATATTCCGTCTGTCTACGTAGACAGGTGGTCTCTACATACATACTCTTATACAACCATATTTATTTATAAGCAAAGTCGAAGAATTTTTTTTCTTTTTAGAAACTGAGCGTCTTTTGTGTGCCTTTATATAGTAACATCACTGTTACTGTACAAAAGTACATCAAAATACTTTTTATTTGTCTAATCCTGTGCTTTGAAATCGAAGAATACATTTGTAAAATACGAATCTTGGAATCAGACCCAAGATGTGCGAAATCATTTTCAACGATGCCCTTATGCGAGTTGTATTTCATTCCTTGTAAACCTTTGACATGCAAAGTAACGACATAAAGCGAATGACGATTTGTATTTCATTCCTTATAATCCTTTGAAATATACAGGCCAAGGACACAACGCAAATTACTCCCATCATGTGACATAAACACAAGAAGCGCTTTTGCTTTGGTCAGTATGTTTCTTTAGTGCGTGCGGGGCTAGCTGCCATAGCGATTACGCAATTGCACAATTGCACAATTTTACCACTACAAAACATTTTGCTAGTGAGTCAAAGATTTTATAAGTAACAAAAGGTAGCATATATTATAAGCGCTCCAAACGTGATACGCTAAAAGTTGGCTTATTATTATGGTAGGTATATAATTATTTACTGTCTACACTTATTTGATGTTCCGCCTATATAATATTTTTTTCGGTCTAAATAGTGAAGTCAAAAAACGCCACTACAATAAAATTTACAGATTAGTGAAGTAACAAATTAACTTGACTTGACGTAAGTACTTTAGCCGATAGATGTAGTAATTTAAATGAATGAATTGGATTTTGACATATGTGCTTTAATCCGCTGACCCTAGCATTCAGAGACTTGTCGTTTCTGACTTATTCCATCCAAGCTCTCGTTAACTCTACATAAAAAAACTATTTTCTCTACAATTAGTCCTCGCTAAGGGAACTGCAATAAGGTGATAGTGTCTCATAGAACGCGATGGTACATTAAACGAAATATCACCCATTAGGTCAAAGCAATCAACATTACCATTTATAATCTTTAGAATATACGCTATATCAAAGATTTTTCGGCGAATATTTAGAGTTTATTATTGTGACGATACAATGTGTTGCCATTTGTGACTTCTAGTTGCGGTGTACATAACTACCTTTTTTTTTACTTATAAAATTATGTAGCGAGCTTATAAATCCGAAGAACTTCCTTTCCGCATCAATCAACGGTTACAATTGTAACTTTTCAAACTATTTGTTTAGGTTAAATTTGAGATACATTTTGTTTTTTTATGACTAAAATTAGTATACTGAAGAGGCAATTTTTCCAGTTCCCAGAAGAGCGCAACCAGGACCTCACTCAAATGTATCGCATGTACTTCACACGCCACGTGAACCCGACCAACCTGTCGCTGTTCATTGATTCGTACATCCGGCGCACAGACCTGGGCATATCGCGCGACACCGATACGATTAAAGTGCCGGTGCTTAACATTACTGGAGCTTTGTCCCCGCACGTTGATGACACCGTGACCTTTAACGGGCGTCTGCACCCTTCGAACTCCACTTGGATGAAGGTGAGACATGACGTTATCCCAGAACTTGCCAAAGGTATCCTCGACAGCGACAAAAGTGTAAAAAGTTCAGAATTACTGAGTTACGAGGATCCCTAATGCGCTTTCAAGCGAGGCATTTTGGCGAACTCTCTTTGCCCATATGTCAAGTAGTATGACAGGTCTACTAGAATCTTGTGACATGAGATCAAATATAGAAGAAAAATTTTATATGGCAATCTATATTCATGGTATTATTTTGGATTGATGTAAGAAACGTAGTAAACTACTGTGAGGAAAATATTATGTAAATGTAACCATTTTGAAAACTTTAGGGTAAACACTATAGACTTACAAACGCACCGCAAAATTGTTGACGTAATCTTCCCGATATTTTAAAAACACGTCTATCAAGTATTTATGCATGACCTGGTAGTAGTACAACTCCTTGTGAAAGAGTTCGTCCAAGGAAGTACTGCCGTCTTACCTATATCTGCCGCCAAACAGTAATGTGAGCATTACAGCGTTCCGATTTTAAAGGGTAAGTAAGGGTGCTGGTTAAATTACAGGCAATCTGACTTGTCAACTTACATCTCAGGCAGTCTGCCACCCGGGAACAACCCTAAATTTGCTGCCCCCTCTATTTTCACTCTAGGCTAGACTTGATTGTATTATCTTCGCCTGCCGTCGCCACCTTTGTCTTGTTCAGGATATCGTTTTTATTTTAAGTAAAAAAATTAATTTTGACTAGTTAGGGCTGAATCGCGTGGGCTGCGCGCCCCCATTATTGTGCCGCCCGGGACCATGGCCCCCTCTGCACCCCCCACGCTACGCCACTGGTCACAAAGCTACTAACGCGGTGGCAGTGCCTCTCAGATTTTTGCGATAAAGCTCTCGAGTGGCACTGCAACTGCTATGGATAGGCGTGTCGCTTACCCACGACTTGTTCGTGGCATTGTAAAAAAACCTCAACATTAGTTTTTTTCCTATTCTAATGAAACTGTTCTACCCTATTGACATTATTTTCAGGAGGCCCTTTTAACAATATATGTAGGTGTTTTGATATATTTCTCCGCGTATTACAGATTTCCGACTGCGCTATGGTACTCGAAGAGCAACCAGCTAAGATCTCCGAGGCTTTCCGTCTCTTCCTACAGGGAGAAGGATACGGTAAGTAATCCATGCCGCGATAATGCACACTACACTGCACATAACTACTTCAATAAACATTACTCTGTATATTGAAACAGAAACAATTAGGTATTTCATTTTAGTGCAGTGTAATCTATTATATTTGACGCTGTGTTATAGTTATATAGAAATTTATATAAATTCAAAGCTCTACTATTTGAAATGGTAACGCGTGTTTGCAACGTTCTCAGAACATGCTGAAATGGTTTCAGTGTTGAATTTCAACTAGTATCCTTAACATGATATTTTATTATAACTGATTATTGCTTTTCTCAATAATCAGTGTTAGCCGGGATTTGTACCAATATTTAAAATTAAAAAGACAAAAACATTAATAATTTTTTGCTCGCTGTTTTCTTAGGAACCTAAACTTTAGAAAAACCTTAAGTATTGAAGCTCGTTCTCATTTTACCATGTCCGTCGATTTTTCAATGTCCCACACTAAAAATGTAACATTAAAATCTATTTTTAATGGCACATAACCGAAAAGTGAAATAAAAAAAAGTACACACGGTGTATCGATTGGACCATTGTCTTGATACGTGTTAAACATAAAAGCTTCACGTTGCTGCCCACTGGCCTGGTAGATGCAATTTAGCGCAATCACGCTCCTGCAATTTGCTCGAATGTACCGAGCATTGACACTACTGTACACACATTGATGGTAATCTTAACACGGTACACCACAATTGCAAGTCATAGAGCTACTCTAAACATATATATAAATTAATCTTGACGTTTAACAGATAATTAGACCGTTCTCAATATATACTCATATCTGTACACAATACCATTCTGCCAAATAAGATAAATTTAATTTAGGTATAAGAGTCGTGTTCATGTAGCTTTAAATTAAAAAAGTCTTTTTTAACAACCCTACTTTAATTATTTAATTATTCAGAATTTTCAGATCTTATTATTTTAAACAGTATTTAACGCAAGGCTACATAATGTAATAGTGATAATTTTTTTGTGTAACTATGAGTACGAGTACGTTAATGAATGAAAGTTACTTATCAATTCACTTACAAGTCAGTCAGATTGTAGCCAAAATGCATTTTTGCGCTATTTCTGACTGTGTCCTCTAGTCAGTCTCGATTGTAGCATTTTGTTTCGGTTCCCATATTACAAAATGTAGCATGCGTATCTATGACAAGGGGTTTCTAGAAGAATGCTCGCTAGCCATCGGCATTAAATATATATAACAAGATTCTGCAACATACATAACATAGCCTGCATCACAATTGTTTTCTTTACAATACAAAGTCACCGCCGCCACGCGTTTCAACCCGTACCTGTTTAGTTAAAACATTCAGGTAATATCATAAATTATTCATCATTGTATAAATGTTATTTCAGTATTTTCGATGTTTAAATCAAATTGTAGAAAGGCAGGACCTCACGTCTAAGCAGCGCACGCTGGTATACAATTTTCTAGGAACCCTCATTAAATTCATAATAAATGCGAACCAGTAATTAGTAAAACCAATTGACCGGTGTGGATTACGTAATATTTTTCTGTTCTCATTATGTTTGAGCGCGGAAATGCGAATGAGTTGGGCCCTGCCACCTGGTATGTATGGCGGGGATACCGCCTGTAGCGCTTGCCGGTATTTTAGATAATCACTAGAGATCTGAAGATTCCCCTCCGACCTTGCATCGTCTTTACACCATTACTCAGTCCAAATATCTTCTTAATAGGCTGTGGTTCAATAAGTTTCAAATTAAAGTTTAATAACTTAGTATTTTTTCCTTCCAAAGCAAATTGAGTTTGGAATAAATCATCTTTATATTATTGTGGAAAATAAGTAAAAGTCAATTCTCGAGCCTTAAAGATGTAACTTGTGCTAACTCTAGATGGTCAGGGTCAGTCTCATCAAAACTGTCCAAAAAATTCCAATGTCAAGAATCAGTGCCCGTGCACCAACAATCTCCAGGGCAGACCGCAACATATTTCATGTCTTCTGATCTCTGGTGTTGAAGTATGATTACTTATTTACCTATTACCGATTGTACTCGTAGTTTGGTTTCTCCTATTAAAAACCCCGCTACACATTGTGACGTGACTTTTTCCATAGTATATGTGACAAAGTAGTGTTGTGTTTTTAGTTATAGGTATAATTGTATATTAGTTACTATTTGTGTGAATGATGCTACTTTGACAAACCAATGAGCAGAACAAAAGCAAACTGACCCTATTGTTACGATAATAACATATTTGAATAAATTTTTTAAAAAGATATAAAACAGTGTATTTCAAAAAAATCAATAAAAATTTCATGAGCCTAAACACGATAGTTCTACTGTAATTAGTTAAGGAGCTGGGTAGGCTTGAGACTGTCATGTTGCAGCATCAGATGAAGGTTATTATGTTTTTGAATCAGATTTCCATCATATACAAAGTCAAGTTCAAATCGACTAGTTAAAATAAAATAAATATTAATTTTATGATCGATGTCCCTACACCGACTGACCGAGAAAGATGACCTTAAAACAGCTGAATAGATGTTCATCAAGCATAACTAAGGACCATCCCGAAACTAGCCTCCAAATAAGGTCAGGAGATCAGTCCATCCGTTTGGGAGCTACGATGCCACAAACAAACATACAGACAGACACACACATGCACACACAAAGATTTCAAATAAATTTAAAAAATACTCCCGTCTTTTTGCATCGGCGATTAAAAAAAAACAAACCTGATTACCTAAATGAAATATTGAATAGACAGGAAAAGTCAATTTATTGTAGTAATAGTAAGTAATAGTAAGTATTAATGTAGTAAATACGTAAAAATAAAAGCAAAGCGGCAATGTAAATGTTATTGCAATAAATTTTATTGTACTCAAATTAATAATAAACTTAAAGAATTAAAACTCGAAATACATATATTAACATTATAACATACGTATATACACTTGTAATACTAGTGGTGCCGTCAATAGAATTACTTTAAAGTCCAATTTTGACTTCCTAGATGAGTAGTTTGTATTACTGTGCAGTAAAAACATTTCCGGAAATCCGGAATTCGAAAAAAGTCATTAATTGCAATTTGGTGGGCTTTAACATCTCTATGTCACTCCTTGTAGCTATATATGTACATGTATATATGTAATATGGAACACTTTTTTCCGACCATTGCACATTACAATAAAATCACGTGCATGTAAAATTCGTACTCATTTGATAATAAACGAAACACTAAAGTTTACGTCATTTATCATAAAACTTATGCAAACACCAATCATTTTCACAGATATAGTAATATAATTCATAATCACAGTGCAATATTTTGTACTATCACGAACTGAAATCGAATGATTTCATCGCAGTCTGTTTACATACTTATTGATAATCATCAATAATTTTCGCACGCGCGTTTAAGTCCAATTATTGCAAGGAAGATTTGTAAATAAATCATATTTAACCTGTTGCATACAAACCTCTAATATTCAATTTTCTAACGCTTGCAGCATTCTTGCTTTAAAGGAGCATAACAAAATAGTCTAACTAGTCATAATACTGTATCATCGAATAATAAATTTAATGCAATCAGGAGCAACCTCGTAACCGAACTGTTTGTAATTTAAATAGTTAATAATGTTGTTTAGGTTGTTAGGTTGTTTTTGGTGTCTCCTCTAAGTACTATCTAAACTATCCAGATATCTATAAAATAATCTGTAAATTACCAACTCGAACATTAAAATTTTAATTAAGTAGTACATTCAGGGGCAGTGTTGATCGAGAATAAATTTGATATAATAATAGCTATTATTTTTAAATTATAAAAATTACAACCTTTGGATTTTTTTATAGTATCGATCAAAGTAATTTTGTTGAACGTAGGAAAGACAATTCCATTACAATAAAAAAAAATTACATTTTTGGCTTTTTTGCTCTTTTCTAAAGACAATTTTTAATGTTGTTGGCAGGCGACTTCCACTTATTGCCCGTGAACGAGTTTCAATTATTCTTACTAATTAGTAAGTTCTGTGCTTCCATGACGCATTTGATAATATTTGTTCATTTTATTATATTAAAAAGAGAGAGGTGTGTAGAATTTACGGGTGGTGTGGGTCATTTTGAGCAGATTAACCAAAATTTTTCGAGCGTTAACCTGAAACTGTACACTAGGACTAATATTTCGTAAGATCTGTATCTACGTGAACAATATCTAGTTGTAAAGGCATAAACTACACAGAAATGTGAATAATTAATTTTAATTTCTATAACCACTTATTTTTTAATAAATACGGAAAGTTGCATAGTTAATTAAATATTATCCACTATTTCTAGTGCTTCCTATTCTGACGAGTAGGACTTATACTTGATAAAGGATGAAGGTTTAAGTGCTACTGAATGTGGACGTAAGAAATGCCTCCATCTCCAGGGAGAGAGGCACCCTTTTGACAGGGGTAAACAATGTTGTACTTGCAAAATTTCCCTATATTTGGCAATGTTGAACAACGGAAATTAACATTCAGAAACAATGTCCTACATTCTGCAATTAGTTGTCAACAAGGTAGTACCCAACGTCCGGTGATCTCTCTAGTCATCTAACATTGGGCCGCGACTCTACGACAGTTTTCTGTAATATAATAATCGTACTCAGGAAATACTCAAAATGATCCGCCTAATTATCTCTCGAAATTGTTACACCGGGAGATGCAGTACTCCTAACGTCGCGTATAATTTGTTATAAAATAATTCTTTCACAATTTTTTTATTAAATAAAGTTGGCTGTACTATTCCCAAAATTGTAATATAATAGTGCGTTCCTCCTAAAGAGTACACAGAAAAATAACAATTTTAAAATTTCTTTGGATAAGATTGAAACAAAAACCATCGCATTAAGATTGAGGCCTAGAGGCGATTTATGCAGAATGAAGTTTCTGATGCGGGAAGGGCATTGTGGCAAACCTACATCATAATCAGGAAAAACCGACAATTCATAAACACGCTACATTTATGATCTTCCTTCCTGTTAGCTTCATTAGATTCATTATATGTATAAATCGTATCTAATTATTCCTATCCAGCGGATGGTCGCAGTTAAATTACAATACGCTAGAAGTTGAAATGTTTCATATTCATATTTTTTTCGCTACTATAGAAAGTCGCTACAGATCCAAAGGAAACTAATTAATAATTACCTTGCTGTAATCGAAGCCAGCTTTCGTAACACATACGTACCCGCGTTTCATTTTTCACATTTACCGTCCGCTCGATCTGAGGCCTGGATTAGGTACCCGATTATAAAACCTGATCTAACATTTTGTTCATTTATTTTTGTTTTGTTTCCACCCGATAGCTGTATTATCACTGCAAAAAATTAGCACGTGCCGACGTAGTTCAACCTTTCAGGGGCATGTCACTTTGTAGCGAGTAAACAATATTGAGGCTTGCGTAGACGAAGTAAGTAAAAAATTTTGAAACCCTTAGCATTACTTAATAATAAATTACTTGTTAATACTAATAAATTACTTGTTAATACTAAACTTCTTTGACATAAATAAGTGTAATTTTTTGGAAGAAATGTTATTTTATTTAAATAGTGCTAAGAGTTGATGTATGTTTTGCTCAAATAAACAGCTCGCTTACCTACAATCAATGATAGAGTATATACATATCTTCTTACAGAATCCTCAGATAAAAATTAAATAGCTTGTGCAGTCAGTGTGGCTACTCGATTTTATTGTTATCTACAATAAATAAACTGTAATTCCTATATTTGAAGAAAACTACGTAATGAGTATATTAAACAATTTAGAGGTAATCTAGCTGTTTACAAACTTGTAAGTACCTACTGTATTTAGACCTGTATTAAGCTAAGACATTCAGTCATTATTTAAACAACTATATGGGTACGTACTTAAATTGTAGCACCATCGGGTATGTAACCAGAAATAGAGACGAAATGTCATTTAATCGCTCCGATTGGTCAGCCCGAATGCGAAACAATTGACGAGAGTCGTCAATTGTTTCACTTCAAAATGACCAGTTTAACTTGAGCATTGCTATAATGGACGAAAATTGAAAAATTACATATTTAATTACTGATGAAATGTGATTCCGATTGTTTTTGTAATTAGATGTTTTGCTGTGTTTCTCACACCACCGAATGGAACAGCTCCCGTAGTTAGAGATATTATCTTTATTACAATAAATACAAAATATTTTTGGAATATACAGAGACGTTCACACAGGTCACTTGTTGGCGCTGCACTATTTCAGCTTTCTAATGTGTGATTACAGTGCAAACGAGAGTAGATATTTAAAAGTGATATAAGACCCATAAGCCTGATGAGTTGCCAGGGATGGATGGCCCTTATTTCATCTGTATTTCTTGTTATATACTCGATGTACTGTACCTATTGTGTACCTCAATTTTATTCACTTGTGTCTCAATTTGTCGCAAAATAGAAGTCAGCTTATTTTATGATAAAACTTTAGATTTTTGCTCTAAACAAATTAACATTTGTAATTGGTGACCTTTTGTTTTCTTGCTTGATTTATTTAATATTTTTTGCAACTCTCTATCTTTACACCCTGAATAAAATCAAACTATTATTTACTTGTATCGGTTAATCTACACTGAGAAGTAACAATTCCCAATTTGTCTGTCCATCATCAAACTTTTAAAATTAAATAATGTTTAAACCATCAATCACTTAGACATGATTTAAAATAAATGTACGGAAAAGCTAGGACTTGGTGTTTTTTTTCTAATTGTGGCGATTTCGTATCTAACTCACGAGGTTGTTTCTTCATTATTTTGTAATTAAATTTGCTTTTTATGCTGTTGTGACACTGAAAAAGCATGTGTGTGAATAAGAGTTCGATACTAGAAATATTGATTGATACAAAATTTATGAACAACCTCCTGAAGTTTTTGCCTCGTATATATCTGTAACCGGCGTAATGTGTTTTGCGTTGCAGTCGCGCCTCTGTCGCCGACGAAGATCGTCGCCTTCCGTCGGCTATCGGACGACGAGCAGCGCCGTCCCTGTCGCCACTCTCCAGTCATCCGCATCACCGAAAACCCGATCTCAGAGGCAGTGGTTTGCTAAGCTGGGAGCGCGACTTGCTCCCCGTGAGCTCCGCGACGCGCTAGCTTCCTGCGGCACTCGCTTCTACGCTACATCCATCCTACGCATCATATGAGGACCGTGCTTACAGGGCGACGTTGACTTCGTGTAAATGTACTCGTTTTGGGAAAGAGTACTAAATATATCACGTATTGCCATATTCTGACTAAGTATCACGTCAAATAAAAAAATAACCAAAAAAAAAATAGGTACCAACATCTTTCCCCGGCGATTGCTTTGATTATTACCCGATGTCAACTTTGTCCTGTAAGGTGTTCTTGACACATAAACTGTTGGTGGCTATTTAGTTGATTTCGCGCCAATTCGCTTCTGGTGAGTTGCTATGTGGTTTGAAAGTTTGATCAATGATGAGTATGCATAAAACCGGATCGGCACATTCGACGTATAATTCTATATTCTATTGTACGTGTTTATTATTGTAACAATCATGTTTTAGGATAGTTGATTTAATAAATATATTAAATTATATTACTAGATCATTTAAAAAATCATCATATGTGTGTTTCTGCATAATAATCAAATAAGTTCATGTCATTTTATCCATATTATTCTGATGATCATAAATACGTAGTGAAAGACGATGTTGTAGTAGGTTTAGAAATAGTTAAGCTGTTCAAATTAGCGACAAATCACGAATAGACACATAAGAATTTTATCAGTTGTATGTGAACATATTTAATCCTTCTACTAAATTTAGCACATTTTACTTGTTAAATAAAGAATGTTTTCATTTCCTTTTACAATAAATTGTGTCTATAAATTATAACATCGTGAATGTAATATAAGCAGTTTATAAAATATTTATACGTAATGTACCTTTGTGTATGTGACGTGCATGTAAAACCTGTTGTGGTATTGAAAAGAACCAAAGATATTTCGAAATAAGTGACATATCTTGGAAGGTGGGCACAGCCCTAATAGAAGTTACTGCCTAGAGAAATAGGGTGGACGTGCTGGGGCGCATTTCGCTGTTTCAATTTATGTCAAACAATAATTTTTTGAGTATTGTGTCTCACTGAATTACTAATATTATTAAAGATAGGCTAACTACGTATACAGGTGTCCCAGACCGAGTGACCCAAATAAAAATGTCGAATAGGGGGTTATGTTACCTGTTCAGTAATATCTATAAATTTGGGTTGTCCTTAGTAGTATAGAAATCATCGCCATTTTTAGAATATGTATGAAATTTTTGGTTCGAATTTACTCAAATTTGGTCTGATAAGTCTTAAATCGAATTGACCGCGATCGAAAACGATCAGGATAAGATGATTATTTGCCATCTGTGTTGACCTAATTTGTATTTTTAATTTATTTCTTGTCTTACATTAGAACCAAGGGGTTTGTGCACATTAATGTAAAAACTGCCTTCACTATTCACAATAAACCTGGAAAGAATTAAGAGTTCTACTTTATGGGAACATTTTCCTGTCAAGATTCTTCGCATCAACATCGGAAAATGACCAAAATAAATTTAATTAAAAAAAAATTAAGCCGAACCGGTTTTGTGTAAGAAAAAATGCTTTGTGTCTTGAAACCATACTGTTATTTGATAATTTACAATAAATTTTCAAAATGGCGTGCTTGTACAGAAATGTATAAATGAGAACGTCATAAGTTACTACGTACGAAATGCTTGACGGTTCTCTCTAATAGTGCTAGCTGTGGCGATTTTTTTCTCTTAAATCTTGTTCTGTTGATGCCTCCCTAGCATAAACAATGTCTTTAATATTGCTCCAAGGGAAATAATATATCGGGTTGAGGTGTTGGTGATAGAAATCACAAGATTTGGAGTGCACCATTGATAAATGTGATACACAACACACACACATAACAAAGTGGGAACTTACAGCATCACTAAGGATAGCATTACTAAGGATAACCCAATTAATAATAATGATATTTTATTATAATTATTTATTTCACATACAACTCTATAACAATACTATATAACGTTGTAAACCAAAACATTTGTTGTCTCTAAAGCCTCGAGCCTAACCTAGGACACACTGTGCTATAGGTCTCCAGACCTCCACCTAAGGATAAAATATTCTTAAAACAATGACTACGACAAGAATTATTCATATGAGAGATAAGCAAAAACTACATTTAAACAAAGCAAAATTTAAAAAAGTATATTTTCATTTAAACAAAGCAAAATGTTAAAACAGTAAAAGTTTTACTTAAACAAAGCAAAATGTTAAAAAGTAAAAATTAAAAAGAGACCTTCATAATGCGGTGTGTGTTCGTGTGTGTGGATTAATGAACACTCGGTCTGAGACACCCATATATTCACTCAGTTACTCTGTTACCTAATGTTATTTATTTTTAATATTTATATTTATAAAGTATTAATACTGAAAACGGAAACTAGATACGTGAGGACTTTGCTGGGTGCTATGCTAAGACCAAGTTAGTTTTTCGAAAATGATTACTTAATCGACAAAACGTTTTTTGGAGAATGAATATCGTTTTGTTTGTCAAGCTTTATTAAAGGCCTAATAAAAATATGTATCGACATTGTGAATTCTTTTAAACAATAATCTCAGGGCCGTATTCTAGAACTCTACTCAATGCTCAAGTCAGGATTTGAGTATGGTTTAAAGCACTCGAAATCATACTCAAGTCCCTGCCATTAGGGTCGTATTTCCAGTACTTGTGTTTCCAGTGCAATCCTGACTTGAGCATTGAGTAGAGTTCTAGAATAGGACCCTCAGTACAGAGAAGTAAAAAACCGACCACAAAAGTCATTTATCCCCTAGTTTGCCACCATTAGAGGTGGAATATTTTCTTCAAATTTAAATGGGACCACTACTGAGGTACCCCCATTCCAACAAAAAAGAATGTCCTTTTTTTAAAAGTCGGTTTATAATGTTAGACATATATATCAGATAATATTGTCAGTATTAATTCGCCAGTAGGTAGATTTCTTTTACGTAAGTTTATTTATTTAAAATAGTTATTTTTATATTTAGTATTTATGAAAAGGTGAAATTTTCACGGCTTATAGATTTGAGCTATGTAAAACAAAAAAATGTAGGTATTCAATTATTTATTGCATAAACACAGTGTGGATGACAAAATTTCTCGAGAGGGGTGTAACGAGAGCGGGCGGTGCGGCGACACGCGTACATACTGCGCTGAAATTGAACTTACATATTCCTTTCTAGTATTTTTACTGTCACTGTTCTGCACTGGCGCACATGGCGCGTCTCGCCGTTCGCCTCGAACTGCCTACTTTGAGTTACTCTTAAGTATTCTAGAGGCGTGGAATAACACAACACTATCTCCACCGTCTGGTCTTTTCTCCACTCGGCTTGCAAAACAAGGTTTTACATTTTGTCATACTATTTTTAAATCTGTGCAATTCCACGCCACTTGTCACGTTCTCAGAAGAGAGTGTAAACTGATTAATATTCCATCAGTAACAAGATAATAAATAATGTTGGAAAGTTCTTTTCGTAGTTAGGATAGAATTTGATCTGAATCTTATCTGAATATTGGAACTATGCGTTTCTTACCTAAACAAATATTTGTATGACGAGATTGTCAAGTTATCCTTTCACGAAACTGGTTATACTTTCAATTAGTCAAGGAACCTAAATGTAGGTATGCTTCGTAGAAGTACAATAACGAAACAATTTTAGAATATCAATTTCATTTGTTTAATAATGTAGAGGAAACATCAGATCTGAGTTTAATTACAATACAGATTATGGTAGATGTGTGGTATTATATGATTCTATTAAACGATGATTTTATAAAAACGTTTTTAATTTTTACCTAACTTGCACCTAATTTTGCGCTTGCTCAATAGTCGCGATTTAGTATGTGGCAATATTACAACAATTAATCGCTCTCTTTTGTTCTAGATATTGATAGCTTCGTAGGAACATCATTATACAAAAAAGGATTTTGTGGCTAAAGACGCTATAAATTCCCTCTTATTGCTTATGCAATAGCACATTACACGACTGCAAACATTATAGGCCAAAATATCGCTTGCCTGTGGACGACCTGACGAGTTCACCTCCCCATCGCGATCGTGCTCTTACTAAATACTCCTACTAGTACGAGCACTAAAACATTAATAGCCTGGTTGTCCTACTATACAAAAAGACTAAGGAATAACATTATATTTAAAATTTTATTCTTTTGGCTCCTATCACAGATTACATTATCATATATCATTATCACATATTACAATTGAACCCAATAACCTCAAAAAAAACCAAAACTAATCTAAATGAGAATGTTTATATGCGGCAGCCATCACTTTTTACAGAAAAAGTTAAATGGAAGATCACGTGTGCTTATTAAGTTCAAGCGCTGTAAACATGAATTCTGCGTATTCACGAGGTCAACAGGAAGACTTAATAATATTAGCTATTTATGTAGACGACATATTAAAAGCAAAATTCGAAATTAAGGATCCAGGAAAAGGATAGAGATCCAACCAGAATACGGTTAATTAAAATTAAGCAAAACGGTGTTATTTAAAAGGTTCTTCATAGGTTTGAGATGCAAAAATGTAAGGCAGTTAGTACACCAGCAAGTTTGTTGGCAACGTTTTGAAAAAGCTAGTATTTAGTAAGCTGTGGGGAAGAGTGTAGCCCACATGAAAACAGCCTACAGAGAACTGATAGGCTCACTGATATATAGCTGATTTGCTTGTATTCAAAACTAAACATTTAAATACCATGTAAGGCGAGTGAAGCGTATAAGGCCTAGCCGGAAACAAGGCCCAGTATTAAAAAATGTCAGAATACTCTTAATTCGTGCAACAGATTACGCACACATAGAAATTACATATGCAATCAGCTGGCAGTTTCAGGTTGCGTTTGCTACTATTTGGTCTATAGTATCCAAAAAGTCGGTATTGAGATGTACCTACCTCTACCCACTGTACAATACAATGTCGTCGTTAATCTCGGCCACTGTTCGATGAAGGTCGTTAATGCTGCTCCACACCCTGCGCTTTAGGAACGATACCCGCTTCCGCAAAATAGGGCTAAAACCATCCACGCGCGCCACCGTAAACATTCCCGAAGCCCTACGGTACCCCAGCAGCATTCTGACTGAGAGCGTCATTATACTGGGCGCGATACGCTTTCTGTGTGTACTTGACCCACAAGTTAGCTATTATATTCCGTGGAATTCTGACAGCATTTTCTTTTTGATTATGACGGTCAAATCTATTTTGCCTTTCACATAATTCGTTTTGTAATAAATAGTAATAATATGCCAAACAAACACCCCAATTATCATTAATAATACCAAATCATCGGTATGCCACTAGTCGTCACTCTGATGTGTACGGATCTCCTCTAAGAGTTTATGTGCTGTATTCGGCCACGCTAGCCCAATGCGGATTGGGGACTTCACTCTGAACCTTCCTCGACGTGCAGGTTTCATTAGGATGTTTTTCTTCACAGTTAGCGAGAGATATTGCTACTAAACTTTCACAAATGCACATAACTTAGAAAAGTAATAGGTACAATACCGCGGGATTCGAACCGTCGACCTCTAATTGAGAGGCAACCGTTTTCCCATCGCTTCTCTAAATAAATAATGCTAATTTCAAATTACTGTATTATAATAATTACCTAATACTAAGTAAATAATTCTAATTTCAAAGTCTGACAAGTCTTTCATTTCCGTTACAATCCTAATGTAAAGTACCTACAAGTACAACCTTAGCACATTCGGTTCCATACGGCGAGCAACGTATTTTCAGCTCTCTGAACCCCTGCTTGGGTTCCTTTTTCCTTGTAGTGAGCGCCTGATGTTATTGGTCAGATTTAATAGGCTCTTATAACGTAGGTATTTTGGATTTTTTAAGAGAGTTACGTATCTGT